GTCGCTTTAAAGCGCCGGTTTGAAGGGAAAGCTCTGACCAGAGGGTGATTTCTCTGCCCGTCGAAGGCCCAGCTGAAGCCCAGGGACTCCTCTGTAGAGGTTCGGAGTGACTGGGAGGTGAAGGAGGAGATGGACTTCCCCAGACTGATGAAGATGAGATACATGGAGGTGGCCGACCCCGTCGACATGTAGGTGGCGCCGCTCCGTCTGTTTCCCCTCAGCTGAGGGCCTAGGATTCGCACGTTACTAAAATTATCAACTCAATACCGATACTCATGAAAATAATCGATACCATTTTCGATAACACAAGGATAAAAACAAAGACCCCAAAATTTAACTGAATTTGGACAGTGTCTTTGGTTTCAAACTGACCTATTACTGATGTTACGGTGTCCCACATTAATGTTGGCGTGTTATTATTAGCCATTAGCCGCAGCTAGCAATTCAAGGCTAACGTCACGTTAATTATCATAAACAAGGTAAATAAAATATCGATACTTTTTAAAATGAGTATCGTATCCGGATACAACGTTTTAGTATCGGTCATTTTTTGAGTATGGATACTTTTGACAACCCTACCGGCAGCATAACTGCACCCACCTTCCAGCCCCGCAGAGATAGCGGGTTTTGAGGCGACCTCTTTAATGGGGAAACGCGTTTCCTGTCCCTGCAGCGAGTGCTGCGGCGCCCTGGAGTACTACGACAAGGCCTTCGACCGCATCACCACCCGCAACGAGAAGCAGCTGAAGAGCATCAAGAGGATCTTCCACACCGTGACCACCACCGACGACCCCGTCATCAGAAAGGTAGGAAGTCCCTCCCCCGACAGCCTCCGGTGACCGGGGCAGGGGGGCGGGGTTTCACCAGTAGATCTCTGTTGTCCCGCCTCCAGCTGGCCAAGACGCAGGGCAACGTGTTCGCCACGGACGCCATCTTGGCCACCCTGATGTGCTGCACGCGCTCGGTCAACTCCTGGGACATCATCGTGCAGAGAGTGGGCAACAAGCTGTTCTTCGACAAGAGGGACAACTCCGACTTTGGTGAGGATCTGTCAGCTGATTACAGAAACACATTACAGACAAGAAACTAGGGTTGTCATGATACTAAAATTTTCAACTCGATACTGATACTCAGGAAAATATTCGATACCATTTTCGATACCACAAGGATAAAAACAAAGACCCCACAATTTAACTGAATTTTGACAGGTTAATGACCCTAACCCTTCATAATTGTGATAAATAAATATTTTTTGGTTAAACTAGTTTGGACTTATTGTACAAACCTATTTAACATACACTATTTTAACATAATATTATGTATAGAGTTTAATTAAGTGTTTGCAAGATTCATTTCACTATTTTATAATGAATGTCTATATTGCCATGAGGCAATTAAGATTTTCTTGCCTGGCATCTTCCCATTGGTGACGTAATCTAAATGGCCGACTTGGATGTGGGGGAGTTGTATATCTATTCTCGGCTTCCTGCAGTCTGCAGCTAGACGGACTTGATTAATGTTAGCGTGTTATTGTTAGCCAATAGCCGCAGCTAGCAATTCAAGGCTAACGTCATGTTAATGATCATAAAGAACGTAAATAAATAAATCAGAGAGAAGGGTATCGATACTTTTGAAAATGAGTACCATATCCAGATAAAACGTTTTAGTATCGATACTTTTTTAAGTTTCGATACTTTTGACTACCCTACTGCTGACCAAACAAAAACCCCGGTTGGTTTCTGGATCGACACTAATCTCAGGTCGAATGCTTTAATCTCCTCAGATCTACTCACCGTGAGCGAGACGGCCAACGAGCCCCCCCAGGACGAGGGCAACTCCTTCAACTCGCCCCGAAACCTGGCCATGGAGGCCACGTACATCAACCACAACTTCAGCCAGCAGTGTTTACGAATGGTAAGCGCCCACACACACACCTCCACACACACACATGCTGTGGGGTCAGCGGCTCTCCTCCGGTGTGTGTGTGATGTGTGTGTCCTCCTCCTTTCAGGGCGCCGAGCGCTACAAGTTTCCCACCTCTAACCCGTTCGTGGAGGAAGACATGGACAAGAGTGAGGTGGCGTCTGTGGCCTACAGGTGAGTTCTGCTCCAGCTCCGGCCCGGCGCCGGCCCCTTTCCTCTCCCCTGATTGGCCGCCTGCGTCTCAGGTACCGCCACTGGAAGCTCGGGGAGGACATCGACCTGATTGTCCGCTGCGAGCACGACGGCGTGATGACCGGCGCCAACGGAGAGGTTTCCTTCATCAACGTCAAGACCCTGAACGAGTGGGACTCCCGGGTGAGTGGACCAGCCCCCCCGGGCTGTCACCAATCAGGGGTGGTGGACCATCTGTCCACATTTAGGTGTTTTACCAGTTTAAGTGCATGTTTGAGAGGTGGGACGAGACCCTTTTATTTTAAAACGACTTTACAGATTAAATATCTTTGGAAATCGGCTTTGCATTTGTTTTAAATGCCACACAGTGTCTAGTATTTATTTACCTTTTTCTTCATCTCCTTATTCAGAAAATAAGCCATTTGTGACCTCTAATAACTCCCATTAAGAGCTATAGATGTATTAAGTATTCCAAAAAAACAGATTAGTGTGATATTTTTAAGTTTTCCATTGGGCTCATCAGCATCTGCTGGTTGTTGACCAAAGCTGTAATCATCTGATAAGAAATGATGGCTTAATATTCATAACACTAGTACATTAAGACGGATCACTGCTACTGCGGTGTGTCTCCTCTGGGGGGGGATTGATTGACCTGTAACTTAAACATTTAACCGCTGAATGTCCAAAGAAGCGTCCTGTTTTAGCATTCAGGGAACTTAAAAAAAAAAGGGGAATTTCAGCCCTCAGTTGTGGTATGGTGTGGTGTCCAGAGGCCACAAACCTGGCGGGCTCGCCTCTTTAAGTGTTGACGTGGTGTTTACTCTCTCTGTGTTTGCGGGTCAGTACTGCAACGGCGTGGACTGGCGCCAGAAGCTGGACTCCCAGAGGGGCGCCGTCCTGGCCACCGAACTGAAGAACAACAGCTACAAACTGGCCCGCTGGACCTGCTGCGCCATGCTGGCCGGATCCGAGTACCTGAAGCTGGGGTGGGTGGAGCCAGCCCCGGGGGTTCCCAGTAGGGGGGGGGGGAGGCAGAGGGAGGCGGGGCCTAAACCTGGCGCTCTGTGATGTTTATGTGTTTATGTTTATGCATTTGGCAGACGCTTTTATCCAAAGCGACTTACAGAGTAGACACAATATTACATTTATCATCACTATGACAATAAGCTCTACAGAGGAGAAACACTGATCAGAATCAGTGGTGAGATAGAGATAGAGGTAGAGGGACTACAGAAGGAGCTGTGGGGGGGTAGAGGTACGGGTTAGGGTTAGGATAGGAGCTGTGGGGGGTAGAGGTACGGGTTAGGGTTAGGATAGGAGATGCTCTTTGAAGAGGGGGTCTTCAAGAGTTTCTTGAAGACAGACAGGGACTCTGCTGTTCTTGTGGCGCTTGGTAGGTGGTTCCTCCATCTTGGAACGACACATTAAACAGTCTGGATGGTCTTAAGCTGGTGAAGGCTCTGCTAGACCACAATCCATTGATGACCGGAGGGATGGAGTTGTGACGTAAGCCTTTGCAAAAGGATTCAAGTAGATGGGAGCCGTACCCTTAAGCACTTTGTGGGCTAGCATCAGGGACTTGAATTTGATACGGGCAGCCAGAGGTAACCAGTGGAGTTCAATGAACAGAGGGGTGACGTGAGATTTTTTGGGCTGATCTCCAGGTACGTGTCCCGGTACCACGTGAAGGACTCGGCCCGCCACGTCATCCTGGGCACGCAGCAGTTCAAACCCAACGAGTTCGCCAGCCAGATCAACCTGAGCATGGAGAACGCCTGGGGCATCCTGCGCTGCGTCATCGACATCTGCCGCAAGCTGGACGAGGGCAAGTACCTCATCCTCAAGGACCCCAACAAGGTGAGCGCCCCTCCCCCTTACGAGAAGCATCTGGCTGCATCCCGCCCACATCAGTTGTTCAACATTCTGATAGCTAAGGGGCGGGAAAATGAACCAGTCGTCAGTGGTGTGCCAGCGGGTGCCCAAAAACGTTTCGACCGTTCAAACACCATACGTCCTAACCGCTGGTGGTCACCCCAACGTAAACCTAACCATGACCAAACCCCCCCACCACAACCCACCCAAACAACAGCACTAAAATCACACATCCTACACCAACCCCCCCCACCCCACCCTCACCCCTACCCATTAAAAAAAGCAGTCTGACATTTGATACATCATTGTGGTAGTCTTAGGTTAACCCTTTAAATTCTGATCCAAGAATAAAACAAAACAGAAAATTACTTTTGTTTTTGTTTTAAGTCTTTACTTGGCCTTTTAACAAAATATCTAAAAAAATATATGTTAATATTAATAATATATTACTATGCGATAAATCAAGATTATTTTTTGTGTAGTCTGCCCCCTGTTATCAGGTGTATCTGATTGTGTAAAATATAATTTTGAGCAAAGTTTTTACCATTAAATTGTGCAAAAGGTGTCAGACGCAAAACATTTCAGAAACCGTATGAATCAAATATGATACATTTGGCATTATAAGGTTAAAAGTAGGTCAGATTCTGGCATTGCAAGAGAGGAGACAGTGCTCGCTTCTTCTTCTTTTTCACTACTGGTGGTTGGCTTTGGGCGCAGTAGCGCCCCCTTCTGCTCTGGAGGGAACACGCTTCCCTCTGAGAAAAAGGAGCAGCGCATGAACCGAACGCAACACACACGAATCGAACCGAGACAGTCCAACCCAACGGTTCGGACAGTTTTCATAGACCGTTCCATCCCTACTGGGGGCTAGCTGTTGGCTAACGCTCCCTTTTCCCCGCCAACAGCAAGTGATCCGGGTCTACAGCCTCCCCGACGGGACCTTCAGCTCCGACGAGGAAGAGGAGGAGGAGGAAGACGAAGAGGACGAGGAGGAAGAAGGTACGGTCTGGGTTCCCCCCCATTGAGGGGAAAAAGCTTTTGAAACTGATCTTTCTCTATGGATCTCTGGAGCCTCCGATTTAACACTGTTGCCTTTTTATTTCTTATTTTAGACGAAGAGAGCTGAAGTGTGAAGATGTGACCAAAGCGGCCTCCTCAGACCTAAAGGAAACACACCGTTACTCCTACCAGATAAATCTCAATAAAACTGATTGGACGAACTTTTCCTCTCTTCTGTGCATTATTCCCTAAAAATACTTTGTTCTCTAAAGTAAAGGAGCAGGAAGTGGTGCTAAAGGCACTGGTCAGGAAACTATTAGGGGTCATATTTTCTTACATAACAGCGCAAAACCTGGAGTTTATCCCAGATGATCAGTTTATTCTGAATCTAAATTCAGATAGAGAACAAAGGATTACCATCCTTGCATTAGATACTATCTGTGTGCATACCGGGGCTCCTGTTGGCTCCGAACAGGAAAATGGGGCAACACTCCACACAGAATATCCCAAACTGGACTATATAGAGAAACATGACCTGCTCTGGAGTGAGTTTCAGCGGGTCAGAATTTAGTCTGAAAACATGAAAACATGGCTCCCTCCTTCAGACTGGAGGGCCGGTTGGGAGTTTTGGGGCCTTCAGTACCATAGCCCCACAGAGCCGCTTTGGGATGTGGTGGAACGGGAGACTTACATCAGAAATGTGCAGCCCACAGATCTGATGTCAGCATGGACCAAAACCTGTGAGGAATGCTTCCGAGTCTAAAGAAAAGAGTAGCTCATAGAGGAGCCAGTGTCTGGTTAGTGTTACTGTGGAAAACAAACCCTCAAAGACACAAATAGGCACTTCATATTTATTCAGAAATCACAGAAAGGCCTCCACAGAATCACGTGATTAGAAATGCATTCATTATAATGACTTTAATCAGGAAAAGCTTCCTTTGACAGCTCTGATGACTTTGGAGAGAGAATTTTACCATAAATGAATTTCGATCATTTGATTTTTACCAAAAAAGAAACCCACTTAGTGGAATTAATACACGAGGGCTGATGAGGATAGGCAGCAGATGGAGACGGGCTCCTGCAGGACGCTTTAACATCCATGGAAGTAGATTCTCCTGAAGCGTAAACAGCTACGAGAGGCCACCCTCAGGAGGAATCTGTTCAACGACAAAGCAAACTCCATTAGTTTTTTGAGTTCTCTGTTATCTAGGCTTGCATTTTCACTTTCCCCCTTCTCAGCTGAAAGTCATTCCCGAAGCTTGTTCTCCTCTCGGAAAAGATTGTTAATATTAAAAGGAGATATGCTCTGGATTTTATCATTTCCATAAAGATGTTACAGATTTAAACAAAATAAAGACAAGTGGGAGAAGAGCACATGTTTGGTTTGTCCCATCAGGGCCACTATAGAAAAACCACTGCATTTGTACATTAAGTTACATTAAACTGATAGAAGAGTTAGAAATAACTGGAAATAGAAGTCCCCCAACTCCCTTGAATTGCAATGCGTCGTCTGACCAACAGGTGGGAGTGTTTGCTGACTTTTGACCCGAGATTATGTCACGTTTCACACCGAAAACACAGAATACGAATTCAGCCTTTTAACTCATTGGCTGCCAAAGACGTCTATAGACGTCTTTTATGTTTTTCAACGAGAGTGGCTGGGGGACGATCTGCTAAAGCTTGTCCGTAAATATAAGGCTTCTAGACAGAGTAAAAGTGGTAGTGCCACTTTTGATGGGAGATGAGCATAGACTGTAGACAAATAAGAAAAAGGCAACGGTTCAATATGAGGGAACATGTCGCCGGTGAGACGCAAGTCGAGGAAGAACGGAATAAGGTAGAAACAAAAAAAATTTCCCGATGAAAGAAGAGAGTCTACTCTTTCTTTTGGTGTGTTCGGTGTTTACATAGTCATAGCACAAACTATTCTGTGGCTCTTGAAAAATCAGTCAAACTGCTCAAAAAACTCTGGCAGTATGGGACTCTCTTTTCTGAAAATGGCTGGCAGTCAATGAGTTAAGAGTTTGAACTTTTCCAAACGGGGCTCACCTCCAGTAATGGCTCCTCACGAGGCAGGCCACGTCGTCGGTGATGTCCTCGTCGGCGAAGTCTGCGGAAGAGAAGACCAATCAAAACGGGTACAACACCAGCATCATTCCCTACCACGGGATTTCTCCTCTACTGTTTCGGGTTCTCCTCTTTCTTTCGGGTTCTCCTACCTGAGCACTTGGCCCGGCACACGTTCCGGGACCAGCGATATCCGGAGCTGCAGAAGTGGCTGTCGGACAGCTGGAAGATCCCGTACAGGCCCAGGGACCAGGGCACCCTCTTCCGGGACCGGCGCCGGTGGGCGGAGCGCCGGTGGCGTTTGCCGTCCATCAGCTCGGAAGAGCTGTCCTCCTCGCCGGTCTCGTCGGCGTCCAGGTGGTCGTCGTCGTCCTCCAGCTGCTGCTCGTTGAACTGGTGGTCCTCGTCGGCGAAGATCTCCTCCATTACCTCCTCTGAATCCATGGAGGTCTCGCTGGAGGAGGAGGCCCTACGCTTCTTACGGCCTCCGGCAACTGGGGTGGTAGTGGTTGTGGTGGTTGTGGTTGGGGTAGTGGTTGTGGTTGTGGTAGTTGTGGTTGGGGTTGGGGTTGGGGTTGGGGTTGTGGTTGGGGTTGTGGTTCCGGTGGTTGGGGCCTGGGTCTGAGCTTTGGTGGTAGTGGTTGTGGTTGTGGAGGTTGGGGCCTGGGTCTGAGCTTTGGTGGTGGCGGCCTCGGTGGCTGTTTTCGTTCCCGTGGTGGCGGGTCTGGTGGGCTGGGCTGTGGTTGTGGTCTTGCGTTTGCCGTGAACCCTGACCAGGCCGGTGTTTAAATGGGATCTCCTCTGCGCCTCGCAGGTCACTGCAACAAAACCAGTTGTGTAAGCAAAGGGCAGAGAGCCAACAAGGAAAAAAAAGGATCGGGGGCGTTCCTGTGGTTTTCCTTTCTCATCTGAGCTTTTTTGTACTTTGCAGGTTCTCAGAGATAACATTGTTGTAAAGTTTTCCGTTTGTGGGATGTGATGAGACGTTTGTTTGTTTGATTTGTTTGATTGTTTAGGACCTGATCATCCAGAAAGGAGGATCGTGATAATCGTTTCATCGCTTTAAAACGGGTTTGTTTCCTGTTGAACTGCAGGTTTTAGATGCCTTCAGAACACCTGACTCTGATTAAATGGATCCATTTCAAAGATTGAAAGCTCTGACATCCTGCTGATGAGAACCAGGTGAGTTAAAGCAGGAAATCATCTAAAACCTGCAGTGCAGCGGCCTTACAGGCCCCACTTTGGACACGTTACTCAAAAAAGAGATTCATTATATAAACTTATTCAGAAAACAATCATCTCACACAACTCTTTTACCTCCGTGATGTAGAAAAATTTTAGTTTTAAAAAGCAGGAAACAAACAGTTTCATGTTCCATTTGCAGGACTTTTGGAGAGAAAACTGACTCTGAATTCAGAAAAAATCCTTTTTGGACACTGCATGCGTCTGTTTTTGAGTTTTGATAAAACAAACTAATACAGAATCACAGATCTTTGAAGCTTCTTTCAGGGAATATTCTGCTAAATCTCAAAATTTCCCAAATCAATTGTTGATTCAATTTTCATTTTTTTCCCTTTTTCTTTTATTGATTTAATTTAATTAATTTTTTCAATTTACTGTCAGATTTTCAAAATCCCACAGATGGAAATTAATATATATATTATAGAGTTCAAATTGTGCTAGTTTTCCCTGAGTTTTATCAGAATGAAAATGCCTTCAAAAATAGTTTTGTATTTCTAAATTCTCCCTGGATTGTGTGTTAAAAGGTTCCCGATAGTGACTCTGAGCTCATGAACTGAATATTCGGTGAGATCTCCTCACAGGTTGGTCACACTCACCTATGGCCACAATCTCCTCCTTGAATCTGGCCAGCCTCCGGGGCAGCCTGATGGTGTCCATGAGCTGGGCCCTCACCTCACATTTGCTGACGACGCGGCTCTCGGAGATGCTGGGGACCACGACGGCCACGGCCAGCACGAGCAACAACCCCAGCTTCATGCCAACACGTTCTGAGGGGAGAGCGGGTCAAAGAGGGCGGGTCAGTTTATTCCCACTTCTTACCGGGAGGAAGCCTACCTGCATCATTTATTTATTCACACTGTAAATCACATGTTTTTAATTAAACCTGCAAAACATGTTTAATTTGTGTTGGAAGAAGTAACTTCCACTCTGTTTTTTATTAAAAATTTCTGAAAAACTAAGAATTTGAATATTAATTTATTAGTTGGAAAATGCAAGACAGGATTTCTCCTGAGTGGCGAATCGGTTTAGATTAGTTTAGACAGTCATTAGAAATTAATAATAATAAAACATTGTTAAACATCTTACACTTTCTTTTTTTTCATTGCAATTTTGTCCAATCAAGCCCCAAAAACATTAACAAACCCAAATAAATTGCAGCCAGATCTACAGCACTTTGAGATATTTTTTTAAAACAGAAATAGCATGAAGCTTCCTACCTAGTATGTCCACTCGATAGACTCCTGATGGGAATTCAGGTTCTCTCAGACAGCGGCGTGCCGGCTTTATATCTCAAGACATCAAGCTATGGAACCAAACCAGTTCTGCTGTCGTCACAGTTTCCTCATTCTTTCCTAGACGGAAGAAGGAAAATGTCCTCGCTGACAGAACAATGCACAAAGATGGCCGCTTTAATTGCCAAAAGTAGGAGTGGACTTACAACCTGCAAACAGGAAAAATGTCCGATTAACACCTGATTCTGCTTCTCAAGAGGGTTAAAGGTTGAAAACAGACTCAACAGGCTCCCTTTGTCTGGGCCTCAGTCAGTTTGGCTCCTTCCTCCAACATATCTGCAGTCGGGTTGGATTTAGTTGGTTTTGCTTTGTCACATCGCACACTGGTGTTGACTGCATACCTCAGATGTTTTGTGTGGTTTTATTCCAGGAAGTCTGGACAACGAAGATGAT